GTCTTCCACTCTCTGCGAGGATACTCGCGCAGGAGACTACCCTTCTGGAAGTATCGCTAGAAGTATCTAAGATACTAAAGTGCGCCTACATAGCGGGGTGAGGCGATGGGTATCCGCGGTGGGGAGAAAGAAATATCTTCATGCGAACCCCTCAAATTATGATACCTTGGCCATCGAAATGATTCTAGGGCGGGAAATATTGATACTTTCTAAAGAAGTGTGCTTCGAGTGACTGATAGTGATTATCAGACATCTCTGGGTTTTTTGGCGTTCTATCTCCACTCAAGGGCTTGTAGTATGAAGGCAGTAAAGCATATACCAGCTAGGCTATCCGCGAGAGTATACACACCCCAATAAGTCCTATGACAATATTTACCAGAGCATAGAACATCACAACCTACCTTCCCACACGTAGACTAACCTCCCTAACTCTCCTTTCAACCCACTCCGAATTCCCCCACCACCCCACCATAAACCTCCTCCGAGGTGTCCATCTACCGCCGCCCGCTCATACTCCCGCAGCAACACGTCTGATCTATACCCCCTCCTATCTCCACCTCCCCTCCTTAAGGACTCTCTCCGCCTCCTCAAAGTAAACACCCAACAGCCCCCCCCTTCTGCCTCCCCTACAGATCCCCCCCCCGCTCACCGCCGCCCCAAGAAAATGTACCCAATCCACAACCCCCGGGCGGGAACCTATGAATTAGAAATCATACAGGGTACATCACTCCTCCTTGAGGGCGTCGTCAGGGATGCGGCAGTAGAAAATTGTGTGCCAGCCCTTTACCGTGTCCTTCCGAAGGCCTCGGTTTTGAGCTCTCAGTGACGGGTAGGGTGTAAAGGATTAGCTAGGTGAGCTCCTTCCGAGAATCTTCCAAAGCTGTGTATTCCTCATTGCCAGTGGCGAGGCATTGGTACCCACACTCTGCCTAGATGCCTTCTGCCGTGTCCGGTTCCGGAGCCTCGTTTAGCAGACTAGTGGGCTATCCCCGTGGTTCCGTAATGTTGCGTGGAAACCCACGATGCAGTGGATCATCCAGTGTGTCTTGCCCAATGGGAGTGTATTTGGGACCCACAGCGGAAAGTCTATGGTCGAGTCCTCCAGTAAGACTACATCATCCACATGTTCCCCTGCAGCCTCATAGCGAGGGGGTACCTTGTGGTTTCGGAAGGATAGAGAAGACGGGATAGGTTGGTGTAGAAGTAGCGTTCCGCTCGGTGGGATATGATATTAGTTTTCGAAGACGCGATTCGGGGGTGGCACTATGCATGCAGGAGGGGATTGGAGGGAGTTTATATTATGTTTGAGAATGTAGGGGGTTAGGGTGGATTTGATGGAGTTGTGAGGAATATCATAAGCTGAATCGTAATATTATAATACGGTAGTTTGGTCAGAGGCTTATGGAGGGAAGGTTGTGTGTGGAGAGTATATGCGAGAGCAACCTATGAAACCTAGAGTCTGCTTTACCAGCTTCGCTGAGCAGCAGCTAGGGACAAATCTCCCTTTTTTGTCGGCCCTACACCGATCTACTTTTATCAAAACAAACACAGAGATCGTGCCGAAATATGGAAAAAATCAAATATGAAGTATGTATCATAGGCTCATGAGGTAAAAAAATATTTAATCATGGCATTGTATGATAACTAAAAAACCTTGAACCTATTGTAACATATTATCCTCTGAATTTGTGAGATAATTTTTTTGAACAAAACTCAAGAGCTGAAAGGGGTTTCTTAAATCTGAATTTTAATTCAACAAAATTTAACTAATATATTCGCATCATCCATTCCTTTATCCTAGCATGATCTTTCTGTTTTGTTTTTGTTTTTGTTTTTGTTTTTTTGATAAGATAAGGCGATTGATATGATACACGGCTAACAGAAAGGGGAGATTTGTCCCTAGCTGCTGCTCAGCGAAGCTGGTAAAGCAGACCCTAGATTTCCTAGGTTGTATGGGGGAGGTGGCAGGGGGTTAACGGATTGCTGCTGGACATAGATGTAGGTTGGTGGGCCTAGAGACTGTTGTATACACCATAATTGATATTATACCTGTAGAAGAAAGAGAGGTGGTTGGGGAAGCTACTGGATGGCTCAGACGCTTGTTTGTTGGTTTTCTCAAACCATAGTCCAATGCTTGTCCACTCCACTAACTCACAGTCTCTCACTCGTTGTTCGAAATCTCTCAGTACAACTGCATCCATCCGCCCTACTGCACAGCTAGGATGAAATTACAATATTAACCGTCCATTCCGCTCAAAAAAAACACCAGAAATGGGCAAAACGACACCCCAGTAACCCCATACGAGATCCATATCATACCTCTACTATCATAGATCCCATCGTAAAACATCGATCAATCCATTCCAGAGAAAATCCCATGTAATGACTTCCTAGGGTTAGGTTTATCCTCTCACCATGCATGATATTATATCATACTAACATAGTCTATAACCAAACAACTTCCACACATGTCACCGAGGCCATCACCCACCCCTCTCCCTGCAAAGATTTCTCTTCTTTCTCTAAAAAACAAAAAAAACGAGGGCGGATCGCCCCATTGCATAACGCACCGGTTACCGCGCCGAGGAGCCATAATGGTCTACGGTACTGGTAGTGGCACCAGTCCAGCCTCCCTGCGATAAAGAGTGTAAATAATTTAGCGCTCTGCCTGTCCAATACATACATGTTCCAAATTCAGCCCCAGGCTAGGCTCACATAGCGAAACCCCCTCAACGTTATGGCCGACGCGTGGCAGCTTAAGCTTAGTCTAAGCCTTGAAGTTAAACTGAGATCCTGGAGCTGCATTGCCCTCGAGGGCGGTACCATCATGGAAGTGCGTAGGTCGTAACGAATAGCATTATGGTGGTGGTGGGTTGGAAGTCCTCTCTACTCGTAGCTAGTGATTTAATCTTGTGAAGATCGCTGCATGCGGGAAAGTGCGATAAAGTACAGTACTCGAGTATCGCGCAGTAGGTGAGATAAGGGCAGAGATTCCTCGGGTGAGTCAGTTAGTGGGTGGGTTAGGTAATACAGGAAGGGTGGGTGGCACTACTCGAGTATTGTATGATACCCGAGTTAAAAGCTGCTATATTTTGCTTTCCCATAAGTGCTGTGTATCTTAGAGCCTGTTCGCTCTTCGACTTTACCGTGCCGGTAGGATATGATATTGGGCTAGTCTGGAAATCCGAAAAACGATAGGTCAGGCGGAGAGTAAAGCGTCTATGACACAAGCATTAACTTGAGTAAAACCTTACCATCCAGGTGGCAGCGGGAGATCCGCACCAATACCATACGGCATGGGTAAAATAACTCGTGCCTTATGCATCATTCCTGTCCCCGCCCAACACATTTACAGTGCTCACTTGTACGGTACCCAAATGCTCGAGTGTATACCCGCCATTGGATTATCGGATAAAGAACTCCCTCCTCTTTACGGATTGACATGAACGACTATTCGTTGATCTTCGCTGGATAATAATAGAATAGATGCTTTAGGCCAACGGTGCTGTCAAGTGCAGCTCAGGGTGCCCGCTGGACCACTGATCAGGCTGATTGTGGGTTTGGGTGAAGCCTGGTTGGTTGGTGGGTGGACGCCATAACACAGGATTGGTACACAGTTCAGTCTCACGCTTACTCATGCACTGCCTTCTGGGGCTAGCGAGGCCAAGGGGAGGGGGTGGCGGGGGGAAGAGGGTGAGGGGGTGAGGGGAAAGCAGGGGAAGAACAAAAGCACAAAAATTTCGTAATCATATCTTAGATATAGTACAAAGGACAGACATTTAGAGATCGGGAGAGGTAGATAATGAAAAGGGACGAAAGGAGTGACCATTAGTATGATATGTAGTAACCAATGTAGTGAGCAAGTTACAAAAAATAATCATGCAAGCCTTATTAGCCAAATGGATAACAAAAGCCCCAGACCCTCAACATATATCTTCTCTCTAAGCTATCATAAATAAAGTATGTACAAAAAATGTATTTAATAGTATCATATAGTATTGTAGTAACTATCCAAATAGCTAACCTCATAATGTCAAAAATTAGAGATTCTCAAGAACTAAAGTCTTTAAGAACCAAGTTTACTTTCTCTCCCTAAGATCTCAAATTAGATTTCTATACTATTAAAAAATAATTGTTTGTAACTTGCAAATCCAGTACATCCAATGCATGTAATGCAGAGAATGCTCAGAATGCTAACTATTACTTATGACTTAAGTAGACATTTCAATAAGTATAATTATCTATTTACCATAAGATACAGAAGATACAACTTGAACAGAATGTATCAATTCTTACCAGTATTAAGTTTTGTATATCGAGTTATAAAATATGCAGGATATTACTGGATCTTAGAAGAAATCAAAATATACTGTTTATTTATAGTAACTTAGAGTCTAGGAGATGTTAAGACAAGTAAAGGTCTTGGATCTTTGTTGTATGATAGACAATATTTGTCTGAAAAGGCTTGTAGTATTAGAACTCACTAATATTACTTAGGAATATAAATTTTTTTGAAGGATAATGATTAAGATTCAAGATAGAACTTTACTGATAAGATCTCTTCTCCATTATCATGACATTGTTAAGTTAAATAGCTAGGTAGTTGTAAAAGTAGTATGACTAATATTGTTAAATATATAAATCAGTCCAACATTTTACCATATATTAATGTTTCTCCCTTGAAACTGGATAGTCATGTCTAAATTATAGTCATATAAATTCTACCAGATAATATAATTTTTAAACTCTAATTTCCTTTGATATTATGAAACTCACAACTCAGAAAGGAGAAATTTTCTTTAAATCCTACCTTAGTTCTCTCGATATCATAATTATAAAATAAAAACTGTTACCCAACCTTTTGCCCTTAGGTGTTGTGGATGTCGAGCTAGGGTAGTTTGAAGTTGACCTGATCTGAGGATTGTTGAAGAGGGGGGGAAGGGGTGATTCTCATTGTCCGGCCCTATTCCAAGAGTAGATATCACTATGACGTTGGTTGAATTAGACTGACCTTTCCCCCTCCCTCTATCACAGCCCCTGATTGATTGCGCAAGTGGGTGGATGATTAGGAACGGGATCTGCGATGGAATACAGTACTCGTACAGCACAAGCACTCGGACCCGCGTACTGCAAATAGCACCAAGAGCGCTCAAGGGAAACAATCTTCTATTCTTTATTTCTAAAAGAAATCACTTTGCCTGCACTGCAAACTACAACTGCACACCTGGTATCATACTCTACTTGTTGGAAGAAATTCCTGGAAGCGAGGATCTTTTTCACCCTATCATACCAGTAACTTTCCTGGATACTAACTTATATCACCAGTTAGTTTAGTGGAGTATCATAGACCTCACCTCACCACCCACATCAGCTCAACTCCCCGGTGTCTACTCGCACAATAGAGAGAACGGATACCGTATCACGTTCGGCTAAATCGGTCAAGTTCCCTACCTTTTTTTTTTCCCCCTTATTTTCTCGCAGAATGGATTAAATGTCGCTCGACCGGTTCGTGTTCCGTTGATAAGGTTCGCTACAAACTCGAAACCATGACGGGGATGCGGGAGCGGATTTGTCAGTGTCGCAGGAGGTGGTCGGGGCAGCGGTGCCTGCCCTTACGAACGAAAATGGTATCTGGGTTTACATAGGGGATCAAGGAGAGTCTCGATTGTGATGCCTATTGCTGCTATTATTATTACGATTGTGGTTGCGCATTTATAAATTCATTTATTTAGTGTTATGTGGCAGGTGAGAAGAGCAGAATGGGGTAGGTATGACGGATGACAACGAATTTGTAGCGGCTGGGGGACCAGGCAAAGCAAGAGGCTGAAGTTTTACTACCGGAGCAATTACTTTGTGGCGAGATCTTTTCACTGCCGCACCGTTACCGGTAATGCACAATTGATACTCTTTGCGGTCACTGCATAATTCTTTCCCCATGAGCAGGCAACATAAGGGGGTTGGACCAGCAAGGGCGGAGATATGCCATAAACCACTCGGTGAACAATCAATGGAAGGAAAATCTTGTCCACAGACAGTCAATCGAAAAAGTGGCATTCGCAGCGGGGCTGCTGGAGCGCGTTCACTCACTCACGTCAATCGAAGAATCCCGCAGACGGCGGATCACCATCGATCGGGACTGTTTATATTGAATCTCAAAAGTGGATCAAATCCACACGCGGTAATGTACGAGTACCGTACTGTACTCGTACACGGGGGGGAGCAAAATAAAACAAAATAAAATAAAATGGGTCGTGGCTTGACAGATTTGCCCAAAGAAGGAATCCGTGCAACGAATCCGGGGAAGAGTGGATTTTTTTAGACTGCGATATCGCTCCCGGTGCTGTACAGTACTCGAGTACGAGTACCGGTACTCGTTCGTACTCGAGCAGAAAAAACACGGCAACACAAAAAGCCCCTGAGGCGGTTGGCTTTTTGCTTGTGTTCGATTCGTGGACATTTCCTCCCTATTGAGTGGTGCGTGGCTTGGCCTAAAGCCAAACTCGATGGCTCTGCTCAGGGTGAGTGCCGTACCAAATCTGCTACTGTACCACCGGCTGCGCTAAACGCTATTGAGCAGCACCACACTCTTTTCCTCCTTTCTGATCAAGTTCCTCTCTACTTGTACGCTGGCCCAGCAGCTTTTCCCTTCCCTTCCCTTCCCTTTCCCTTCTTTTTCTCTTCAGACATATAATTCCCGCCCTTCACCCTTGACGGGGTTTGTGCTTTTTCTTCTTCCCTTCTTCCTCCTCCTCCTCCGCTCCTTCCCCCCCCCATCAAGCGTTTTGTTTCTCTTTCTTGAAAAAAAACAAGGACCATCCTTCTCATTTTCTCCTTTCATCTTTCCTCTTCCTTTCCGATTGAGATATCGCACGCAGCTGGGTTCGTTCATCGGTCGCTTCTGGGAAGGGGTATTCCGTCTTTTCTTACTTTCTTTACTTTTTTTTCTTCTATTCGAGTTAGTTGATTTGCTTGACAAACAAACTCTCCCTCTCGCTACTACTGCATTTGCCAGCTCTCGTTTCTCCTCCAGAGCTTTAAGTTATATCGGACTGTTTTCCCCGAGTTGCTACTCCGCGATACCATCTACCGCACCCATATCTACCCTTAATTACAACAAACCAATTAGCAATGGCCGCCTCAACATCCTCATCCCTCTTCACCAGAGCACTATTGTTCTTTCTCCTGTTCGTCATCCTCGCTGTCAGTGCAAATGCACAATCCGCCAGCGAAACCGCACACCCGGTAACCCCAATCACGAACGGCACCGCCGAGCCAACATATACTACCCCAGCGGTACCAACAGGCACTAGCGACCAGCCTAGTAGCGCAAACACCCTCTCTTCAACGGTGGCATTGTTTGGAGCTTTGATTGCTGTGAGTTACCCCTTTCTCCTGCCGGGATGTTGAAATTTGTTGGGGGACGTGGGAACTGATTAGTTGTTTATGATAGGCCGCTCTGTTTTCTATATGATCAGATTTCTTGTTTCTATGAGATGGGGTTTATCAAAGTTCGGCGTGCGTGCGAAGGAGTTGGAGGATTCTATCATACTGGACAGCGGGAACGGTCTAGCCACGGCTGAAGGCTAGCATTGGAAACTTTTCTTGCCCGCTCACACCAACTCACGCCCACTGCTTGCTTATCCTATTTAATTCGGAACCTTTTATTTGATATCGCTTTTTTAATCCTGGGGGGGCCCTTTTTCATATACACTTTTAATCGCTTCACGCTTCTACCATAACAAACACCAACTCCCAATTTACCGCGCAGATTCAACCTCCTCCCGAACCTTTAACTCGATTTTTCAATACCCTTTTCAGTTTCTTCTTCAGGCGTTTAGATCGTTCTTCTTTGGAGTTTTTTTCTCGTGTCCTTTTCAACATTCCCTTCCTTTGTACAGGCCACTCTTATGTGACAAGCCCGGATTGGAACCGCCGAGAAGCGCTTTTTGCGATTCTTCTCTATGTGTCC